ATATAAATCTTTCAATATATATATATATATATATATATTCAAATAGAGAGCAGTCATTTTAATAAAAATATTTCACAATATTGCTGTTTTTTGCTGTATTTTGGATCCAATAAATGCAGGCTTGGTGAGCAGAAGAGACTTCTTTAAAAACATAAAAAAATCTTACTGATCAATACCTTTTGACCAGTAGTGTATTAAAACACAATTTCTAAAGTGCCTAAATGTCAAAATTAGTACAATATATTTGTTGAAAAATTCTAATACTGAACACACTATTGAATTATTAGGCTGGGACTTATTTTTGTGTTGCTGTCTGCTCTAGCCCCCTCCCTCTACAATAAATCCATGTGAATATCTGTCTCTGCTAAATTTTTTAATGTAACTTTACAATCGATATTGATGTCCTTTAGCACAGTATTCTGAATGATGATAATAATGGGGTGCTACTGATAGCCTAACAGATAGCCTACTAGCAGTTTAATACTCAACTAGGTTAATAAAGACAAAACTATCTAGCATATTTACATATGAAACTGACCTGCACTTGAAGCCTTGAACAGGTCAGTAATGTTGCTACATTTCACTGCTTCTTCTGCCCGTTTTCTCTCTTTCGTCCCACGCATCGGTTCTGTTCGGAACCGTTTGACGGAAGCGCGGAACAGATGTGAGCTGATTCGTATAGTGCAGCGCTGCCAGTAAAGACTAACCGATTTATTATCGAATGACAAAATCGGAAATGATCACTTTGGTACATTGAGAAGGCATACATATAAAATATTAATAATAACAAAAAAAATAAAAACGGGCAGCGGGCCAAATCAGCCGCCAGTCCACCGGGAATTCTCCCAGCGCTCCCGATGGCCAGTCCGGGCCTGGTGTTGCTGTTTTGTTTTTTTTTTTTTTTCTAAAATTCAATTCCAGAGCCATCAGGACCAGGGGCCTTCCCAATAGGAAAGCTTATGATTGCATCAGATATCTCTTGAATTGTACTTTCAGATTTCAATGCTTCCTGATCAGCTTTACTCAGTTTTGGAAGAGGAAGCTGATTGAAGGAAGACAGAAATTGCTGCAAGTATAGAGCTTGGGTTCAAATAGTCCTTCATAAAATTGTCTTATTTAGTCATTGATATCCTTGGGATTTAGTATTTTGCCTTCCTATTGCTTAACGTTATGACTTTATCTGCTAGCATCTGTTCCCCCCCACAGCTCGAAGTGTTTTTGCTTAATTTAATTAGAAGAGCTCTTATTATATTCATATTTGAGAATCATTCTCTCAATTAGGATGCTCAGGGCTGATTTATCCCTGTATATTTTCGTACAGGGATACATCGGCTCACAGCTTCTGAAGTAGCATTACACTAATTAAGCAAAGGTTAAACAATAACAACAATAACATAAAGCAGGTTCCTCCTGACCACTTTCCCCAAATGAAGCACAGACATTTCTTCAGTGGTGAAGTTCAGGAAACTGAAGGAGATCAGAAGTCATACTCTCTATCCAGATAATGGTGCACTCTGACAACTATAGCTCAGAGACAGAATTGTGTGGCTTTAATCTGGCCTGTATGATGTGTGTGGTCGATTTTAGAAGAGAGATTTTGGGGGGAAGTTGCGATTTTATTTTCATTATTTTATTGTATTTCTTTTTTATATATATATTTTCAGTGATGCTGTCATGGTCTGTGTCTGTGCTTCACAAAAAAAGTGCATTTTTTTGTAGAAAAGGGTTCAGTCATTTCACACTGAAAATGGTCAGTGCTGTTTGAAAGCATATATTTTCAGTGCTAAAAAGTTACTGTGATCTTCAAACTACAAGGATGTAGCATAAAATCATCTGTGAGTTTTACAATCAGGAAACGTGACTTTAAAAGATATGTTCGGGGATCTACTTCTCCAATACATCTATTTCAGATGTACATTATGACAGTTAAACTTACCTATGTTGACAACCTTGTATGGGAGTGTTTTAATTTTTCATTCTTCATGTTTTTTTCTCATTTTTTTCAAACCTAGAGAGCGTTATTTCTCTCTGAGGCCTTTTTCCCTCCTGAGTCTTCATTAAGAGAGACCTTGGATCCAGCCTTCAAGCTCCATGAGAGTATTGCCAAGGTAAGAGTGCTCCTCCTTTCACTACAAAAGTCCAATAGTGATTATTTTGTTTGTTTGTTTGTTTGTTTGTTGCTGGCTGGCTGGTTTGTCAGGCGCTGCAGTGTTGTATGCCTAAAGTTGTCATTAGGATTACGTTTTGAGTGGAACCACTTTCTTGCACAACTTTCAAGTGCTAATTGTGCAGCTACACAAATCATAACTCGAGACAGATGGAATGAGAAAATGAAGCAAATAACTTCAAAAGTGTTTATTCGAAATCTTTTTGCTTTTTATTCTCCAAGTTAATACAGATAATCAAACCTTTTCTTAATCTCTACTTTAATTCCTTTAAGATATGAATTTTTAACCTGAACATTCTGTGTTCTCCAAACTCTCTTCTCTCAATAAATGCCTGCGATGAAAGTTTGAATTCATTTAGTAATTTAAGAGTTTCTGTGTGGTATTTTGTGTTCTTTTTTTCTATTTCTTTGGCAAACGTCTAATGCTAAATGATGGATCATTCAATGAGATGAGGAATGTGTATGAAGAAATAAAACAGAGTCCATTTTTATTTGTGTTACATTTTTGCCCATTTGAGAGCCTGTCCAGTCATCATATCATGAAGTGTGTCTTCCAGACGGGACAAAAATGCATTGACCAAGTGTCAAGAGACAGTGTCCGGTGCTCTCCTGGGTCACGTTATGAAACCCCAGCAGTGTTTCAGTCCACAGACACTGATTGTTTGGCTTCTGACAGCTTGTTCCCCATCCTGGCAGTCTGTAGAGGAACAGCAGGCATGCTTAGACTCAACAACAAACCCTGTGAAAATGTTATGAAATATAGATGAAACAGGCTGGAGATTTTATAAACAATTTTCTTTCTCTCTCTCTCTGCCAGTTATGACCACAGCATTAACGGCAACAAGAAATATGAGCATCATTAAAGTTCCTCATCACAGTCAAGGAGATACTGTTCTGTGCCATGAATTATTCAGGCCGCTTGAAGACACACTGGCAATGACACAAAGAGTTGTGGGACAACAGCGCATGCTAGAATAGATGAAAGGCTCTCAAAGTGTCCGTTCATTGCCATGTCTCCTCCAACTACACATTCAAAACAGTATATACAGGAACATTAGATAAAGCGTCTGCAGAATCTGAGAAGATAAATATTTAGTGTGGTTTTGAATTCAGCGAGCAGATTTGGAAGCGTCAAAATATCATATTTCTCAGAACAACGGGCAGAAAGGGTTGGGAAACTTACCTGAATAACCAAACAAGACAGAAAGGGTAAGATCTTAGCCTGTGAAAAACATACAAAGACACACTGGTGTCAGAGAAATGGTAACACTTTACAATAAGATTCATTCATTATCCTTTGTTAATGCATTAAGTAACAATTAACAACTTTTTTAGAGCATTTATTCATGTACGTTAATTTCAATTAAATTTGAATATAGGCTTCTGTTGTTAATTCACGTTTCAACTTTATTAACATCAACCTAGGTTAATAAATGCTGTAAAAGGATTGTTCTTTCTTATTTGTTACACTGGACCACAAAACCAGTCATTAGGGTACATTTTTTTAAATAGAGATTTATACATCATCTGAAAGCTGAATAAATAAGCTTTCCATTGATGTATGGGACAATATTTGGCTAAGATACTATTGGCCGAGAAACAATTTGAAAATCTAAAATCTGAGGGTGCAAAAAAATCAAAATATTGAAAAAATCGCCTTTAAAGTTGTCAAAATTAAGTCCTTTGCAATGCATATTACTAATCAAAAATTAAGTGTTGGTATATTTACATGCAGTAGGAAATTGACAAAATATATTCATGGAACATTATCTTTACTTAATATCCTAATGATTTTTGGCATAAAATAAAAATCTATAATTTTGACCCATACAATGTATGTTTGGCTATTGCTACAAATACCCCCTTGCTACTTATGACTGGTTTTGTGGTCCAGGTTCACATTTAATGTTAGCTATTGCATTAAAGGAATATTCCAGGTTCATTACAAGTTCATTTTAATCAACAGTACTTTACTTGGGGCATAATATTGATTGCTACAAAAAATTATTGGCACTTGTCCTTCCATTTCTTTAAAACAAGCAGAAATCTGGGTTACAATTTGAAGTGAATTGAGCCAATTTGTTAATGTTAAAATACTTTCAATACTACAGCCACAAGACGCAAACAACATGATTTCAGTGATAAATAAAATCACTTAATAAACACTTCTGTGCAAAGTTATATGCAAATTTACTGTCACTTTTACAAAGTAACACTTAAAACCCTAAAACCAATGTTTTAAGAAACCAGAGAATTCTAATGTATTTTTGATGGTAATGAACATTATATTACAAATGCTGTCAATTGAGCTTAACTTGTATTGAACCTAAAATATTCCTTACTATTAACATATACAACCTTATTGTAAAGTGTTACTAGAACATTTTTGGGAAGCAATGTTTTCTCAACTCAGGGCAGATTTCGATAATCTGCGGGAACTTGGATAGACTTTTGTTAAGTACTTTTCATTCATTTAAAATTAGTCCTCCATCACTAAGACACATAACATTTCAAGTCGACATGATTCATTCAATGTGATTTTGACAATTTAAGCATAAAAATTAGATGCATTCTTCCAACATGCAATACTTTCACGCTCACAGTCCAAGCCCAATCCTCTAGAGGGCATCTTGTATAAATATGCCCTACTTTCCAAACAGCACGAGTTCTTAGTCACATTGGCCCTGTAATGTTGCCGTTTTCTGCCTGCCATGAGTTCAGTGTGACTCTAAAGCCAATATTAATGAATGCTAATGCCTCTTGAGAGTTTCCTTAATATCACGTGACCTGTAGTCACCTGCCGGCCTTTCCCAGTATGCCGTTCCTCCAAAATAACAGCCACGGACGTCGTTAGTTTGGTGATCCAGATTTCATATGGAAACTAAACTCTAGTAGCCCCCTGATGCCAGCTTAAATCGGTGGAGGCAGACGTGAATTGATGGGGTGTGAGAGTTAGGTCTCGCCGCTGTCTGATAGTCTCCAGCTGCAGTACAAGCGCACTTGAAATCCCCAGGTCCCTCTGTAAGGCCAGCGCTGTTGTATCTGTGGTGTCACGCTTCTGTACGCCTCCAGGTCCCGCAGGACCTCGGGCCCGGGCCAAACTCTCTTTTTCTGCAGGCTGAGGAGCCTTGGGAGTTCTTTCAGCGAAGCTTATCACATCCTCTGCTCATTTTTCAACCCCACCTTTACAACCACAGCTGGGCCAGGTTGACGGGGAGGACAGAGGGGCCGAGTAGTGTTGAGTGTGTTTGAGTCAGTTCCACTCAGCCTGGCACGGAAGCCTGGCATCGATCATTTGAGCCGCAGGTATGCGCACACTCCATCACCCTCGCAGGGCCCACATGCGGCATACCAACTCTCTGGGGCTCAGAACCTCTGTGCTGACTACCTTTAAAGATCTACATCTAAAGTCGCTCATTCCCTTAACAGGGTAGTTTGCCCTCCTTTTAGAATTTCAACTCCGTTTACAATATCGTAGCCCTGTGAATTGTTTGCTGTGGTTCCCTTCTTTCCCTTTCCTTCTTTATGTACAAGACAATGCCAAGTCTGGCTATGCAAGTTGAAGAGACTCTACACTCTTTTTTGTACTTAAAAAAAAAAAGCGTAATTTCTACAGAATGCTATACAAATACTGGTGCTAAAACCTTTTAATTGGTTAGCTCTACTGTTAGGTACATTGCCATATACATTTGAAAAAAGTAGTAATGGTTTCATCACATCACATTAATGTAGTTTTACTGAACAGTACTATGAATGTATGTTTTTTTTTTGGAAACAATTAGTTTTTTAATTTAAATAATTCTTCTTATTTACACTACTGCTCAAAAGTGTTTTTTTTACAATGGTTTCCACAAAACGTCTCGGTTACGTATGGTAACCCTCGTTCCCTTTCAGTCGGTCACTCTCGACGTCACGTCGGATGACCGATACTAGAGTCAGGTCCCAAGAGGGTATAGAGGGGGGCCGTGGAGGATTTAGCCTTCTCGCCCCCTTAAGGAACCTGACAACCAGGTCATGCTTCCCCAGCGACTTCCCTTCAACGGGGTCGTGGTTAGCAGTGATTGCAGTGACATAAACTTTGAGGGTGGAGGGAGACAGCCTTCGCTCCAACCCTTGCTGCAAAAAGGACAGCACGACTGTGATCGGGCATATTAGGGGGTCTTCTCGGTGAGAAGAACACCACTCAATGAACAGGATCCACTTCAAAGCGTAGGTGTGTCTCGTAGACGGTGCTCTTGCTGAAGTGATGGTGTCAACTACCTCTTGAGGTAGGTCACTTAGAACCTCCGCGTCCCGTCCAGGGACCAGACATGAAGTTTCCAGAGATCTTGACGCGGGTGCCAAAGGGTGCCCCGTCTCTGAGTCAGTAGATCCTTCCACAGAGGAATCGGCCAAGGAGGGGGCCCCTTGAGGAAACGGAGCTTGGCCCGCGACTCTGAGATGATCATCTTCCCGCAATGAGAAGATGACTCATCCACAAACGCCACCTCAGCGTGCTACATGCCCAGGCACGTGAGGTAGCGATCGTGACCATCACCCAGCGCCAGGATAACGACCGCATCCAGAAACGCCCGGGTGATACGTTGTCTAAAGCAAGACCCACATCGTCTTTACAAAGACGTAAAGTCAAGTTTGCCACACAACATCGTCTTTAAAAAGACGCACCCGAAATTGCTCTTTTAGGGGAAAAAGCTCTTTTAGCGTGCTGAGGCGCACAGGGGAGATGATCATCTGAAACAGAAACAGGGGGTAGTGCAGCCTGATGTGTGCAACCCACTCGACACGGGAAACCACCACCGCTGAAGCGCCGTACCGCCAACACGAAGAGCTCTCCAAGAGCGCGCTGAACTCGTTCAGTCTTCTTCTCTCAGTAGAGTAGTCAGGAGCAGAACGATGTGATCGCTCGGCTCCGAAGCGAAAAGCTGAATATGCGCTGCATCT